TACCCAATTTATGATATGTTGTTATAGCAGCCTGAATATATTAAGACAAGGACATCAACCAGTGTATTGTCTGACAATGACAAAAATCATCCCCCAGATTCTGTGGATTAGTCCAAGCATCACATAACTTGATCCTCTGCTTAAGGGTTTAGGAGGCTGAATCAGGTTAGCTGGTCTTTATGTTCTTATCTGGAGCTTTGACTGGGGAAGAAGTCACTTTCAAGCTCATTGCATCTGCTGACAGAATTCATTTCATTGTGGCTAGATGGCTGAGAACTCTAAAAGTTTAGTGTTGTCTGGAAATCTATGTTTCTTTTCTCTGGATTAACTTCCTTTACCAGTCAAATGAAAACAATATAAGTAATATTCCATAAATATAAGCATTTAAAATTCACTTGGAAATCATATGGGCATCATATAGGAAGCAGGTATCCTACTATTAAATTCAACCTGATTAATAAGTATATCAAATATTTATCACATGGAATGAATGATCAAAAAATAATTGAGGGGACCGAACACGTTTTTCCCTTTAGTATGTGGGTCTGTTAATTGAATTGATAGCAGGAAATAAACTTGAATTAAATTAGAATCCCCAGCCTCCAGTTGGCACTGCTTTGTGGTTTAAATTACATTTAAAACAATGTATTTTTCTGCTATCATCTTCGTCCTGCATCTCTTTTCTTTCCACTTTTGAGGCTTCTGCTCATTTTGTGGCATTCACTCAGTACCTAGCCTGGCCTGGGTTAATAGTTTGGAAGGCCCTGTAGACTTGATCAGGAACCAAAACTCAAACAACCCCACTCTCAAAAGCTCAATTCAGCTCAGTGCAGGTTTATCTGGAGTCAGATGTATCAGTTTCAGTAACATAAGGTGATTTTACAGATGCAAATGTTGTATTTAAATAACTAGTTTATACTTTTCTAGCATAGTGATGAGGGCTTGTTAGAGGAGGAACAGACTGCAGATTTTGTTCCTATTTGAAGAGGGACTCTTATGTGCTCATGCTATCATTTAGGATAGGGGTTGACAAATTCTTTCTGTAAAAAGCTGGGTAGTAAATATGTTAAGCTTTGTGGCCAGGTGGTCTCTTTCACAACTACTCAACACTTCCCTTAGAAGGAAAAGAAGCCCTCAGCAATGAGTAAATGAACAAGCATGGCTGTATTTGAACAAGTCTTTACTTATAGACACAATTGAAATTGTATATTATTTTTATGGGCCTTGAAATATATTCTTCTGACTTTCCTTCAGTGTTTTAAAGATACAAAAATTAGTGGCTTATAGGTCATAAAACTAGGCAGTGGGTTGTATTTAGCCTACATGGCAAATTTGGTCAACTCCTGTTACCTATGTAAAGCAAGTAACTACCCACCATTTTGGAAGTCAGTAGGGGCTGCACTCAGAGTTTCAGGAATATATGGAGATCCTTGATGGAGAGAATCATCTCTGAAGTTAGGCTTTCAAAATAAGCACTTGCAGAATTTAGAGGGAGCAGCCAAAGGAAGAGTCTTTATACCATAGAGCCCATTCTGTCCCCGTGGAAGACAGCTGGCTTAGCCAAGTTGTAATTACAGTGATCTCATGGCCAGGTGACGAGGCTGTACCAGGAAGATCGGGAAGAGCAACAGCTGCAAATGGGGTGAAATCATCTCAGTAAAGCAAGGGGTGACCTGGAGAGAAGCACAAGGCTGTCTGGAAATAAAGGTCTGTTTTATAGTAAAGTGACAACCAGGAAAAGTTCATAAAACATTTTAAATGTCCTGGAGATTCCCAGAGATAGTGGGAGAACTGAGGTGCAAAGCTGTTAAAAGAACACATTTTCTCTATTTGAGTGCCACGAGGGATGAGGCCCCTATAATTTGGATAAGAAATGTATCATTTTTAGGGTTAGGGTTTGGCTTGTGAGGTCTGAGATATATGTTATCATAAACACTCTAGGTTGCCAAGCAACTTCTTGTGTCCCATTCTTCCTCCTCTTCTATTTTTGAAATAATTTTAAATCTTCAGGCAAGTTGCAAAATAGTACAAAGAGCTCCTGTAGTCCCTTCACTCAGCCTCCTCAATTGTTATTTTCCCACATTTATCTTTGCATTCTCTTTGTCTTACACAAACACACACATAGACACACACTCATACATACTATTTTTTTCTGAACAGTTTACAAATAAATTCATAAAAAATTATTTCTTAAAAACAGTGATATTCTCCTACATAATGCCAGGATAATCATAAAAATCAGGATGCTAACATTGACCCACTATTGCTAACCAGTGCATATGTATAATTGAAATTTCTCTGTTGTCTCAATAATACTCTTTTAATGTCCTATATGCAACCCAGGAACATGTATTCATTTTAGTGTCATGGTGTTTTCTTCTCCTTTAATCTGAAATAATTTCCCAATCTTTCCTTCTCATTTACGACTGACAGTTTTAGTAGTGAAGACCAGTAATTTGTAGACTGTCCTTCAGTGTGGGTTTTTCTGAAGTTTCCTCAAGATTTGTGAGTTTTTAACAGTGACATTTGCCAAATATTCTCATGGCATCCTACCATTGGGTACAAAGTACTAATTTGTCTCAATACTTGGGATATTAACTCTTTATCATTTGTTTAAAAAGTATGTATATCCTTTCTTTATTGTGAAGTAAGCTAGTAATTATTTTATGTTCATCACCCAAGGATTATAAAAATATATTTGAGGGATGTACATCATGTCTCCTACTATAAGTTGAAACTTTCTACTGCACCATGTATTTTTGTTTTAAATGTCATTATTCATTTTTATGCTCTAATTGTCTTAGGCTTGCCAGTGGAGCCCTTCAAAGTGGATCTGGTCCTCTTTGGAGTTTCTCTTATTCTTCTTTCAATAATTACTTGCTTCATGATACCACAAAATACTCCAGAATTTAGAATTGAATTAAATTTTCTTTCTCCAGCTCTGAGTAAACAGATACTCTTAGGGACCCTAGTGTCTTTATTAGAATTGTATATAAAAATCAAGACTCAATCATATAGAAGAACTAAGAAACTGAGAACTACGCCTTATGAGAAAAGCAGAATGTCAATTTTTTAGGATTTTTTGATAGAGTTAGAACACGTGCACACACAGACACAATCATAAATATACACATATATCAATATCTATTTTTATAGAAATTCAAATCCATTTGTCTACCTCATCATCTTCAATTTTAGTCTACACCACATCATGCAACTCATTCTATTCTTATGACTCTCCATATTTGTAAATTCCTTCTCTGCCAGTGGAAAACCAAACTCACAGCATGCTTAAAATATTTACTTATTTTTTCAATCCTTCCTATATGTAACCCATTTTCTGGCTGTGCTCACATCTCTGTCAGCTCCCAATCCCTATATTATCAAATTAGGTCCCTAGGAAGGGAGAACATGAAGGAAACATTGAGAAGAGGAGGGAGAAGGAAAAGTCTTGGCTCTGGATATGCTTCCCTTTCTTATGTGCTGGGAAAAAAACTGGGCATTGATGAAGTAGATGATGAGAAGGGGAAAGGAGAAAATACAAAGGAGAAAATCCAGCTACCTTCCTCTGTCTGGCAAGACAGCCTGGAAAAACATTGATCCTGATAAAATGGTGAGGACAGAAGAGCTAGAGGAGGAGACAGACATTCCATTCCTTCTTTTCAATAGTAGCCAGGAATTCTACCCATTTTAACTCTATTCTCTCTGGTTTTTATTCATAACATTCAATATGAAAGCTAGATTTTCAATTATCCAGACTTCTTGGCTTATGGAAGTAACTGTGTGATTTGGTTGTGGCTCCAGCAATAATGTAATCAAACATTTCTAGAATGTTTTAACTTTATGAGAAATGTGGCTTTACTTGCTCTTCTCCATTTTTTCCTTTCTTTTAAAAATATTTTTATTGGTACATTTAAGGTATACAATATAATGACGTTCATCATTGGAAATTTGCACCTTTACATAATCCATCTTGTTTCTTATTTTTTCCCCCTTCCCCTGCCCTCCCTTCAACCCCTCCACCCCTCCCTATCTACAAAGTCTTTGATTCAATTTTTTCATTTTCTCATATTAATTCCATTCCCCTCCCCCTCCCCTTTCGCCTTCCCTTTTGCCCCTTTTCTTCCTATTTTACATTACCTAATATACCTTTTAGTCCTTATTTACACTTTCATTTTCTCACACTAGAGAAACTATTTGATATTTACACATGTGTGTCCTATTTATTTCACTTAAAAGTATCGGCTCAATATGCATCCATTTAGCTATAAATGTCTCTAGTTTCTCGTTCTTTATGGCTGCGTAATATTCCATTTTATTTAAAAAAACCACATTTTCTTTATCCAGTCTCCAGTTGATAGGCTCTTAGGCTGCTTCCAAGCTTTAGCTATTACAATCTGTGCCGCTATAAACATGGGTGGACATATATCGCTGTGGTGTGATTCTTTTAATTCTTCGGGGAAGATACCCAGCAGGGGAATAGCTGGGTCAAATGGTACCTCCAGTCCTTGTTCTTTGAGGTACAATGCAGAAACTGTCTTACGCACATACTGGAACTGCAGGAGGGAAAGACTAAGAGAAGGTCAGAAATTTCAGTCTGAGAATGGCTTTGGATGGTTGAATTAATGCTAACAGGCAGTTATCTCTTGTTATGTGGAGAAGGTAAACCCCTATTAATTTAAATAGTGCAAGTCTAGGTGCTGAATGCCTGCATTGGTCAATTTTCCCATCACTAGGACAAATTACATGATGCCCTCAAATTAAAAGAGGGGAGGTTGGCTCATGATTTCAGGGATTCAGTCTATGGTTAGCTACTTCTAAAGCAGAAAGATTAGAAGGACATGGTAAAGCACAGCAGCTCACTTCATGGTGACTGTGAAACAGAGGAGTGTAGTAGCAGAAAGGAATAGATCAGGGACCAGTTAAAGAACCCAAGGTCATGCCTCCATGATGCATTCAGAAATTCTCTGAAGTGTGCTTTACTAATCCCATAGGTAACTCTGAAGCCAATCAAGCTGACAGTTAAGCTTAACTGTCACATTGCCTTACCTGATGAATTTTTAGCTGGACCTCAACTTGAGCAGTAGGCTTGTGTGCTGCAGAAGAAGGTTATTCCATTTGTACCACCAAAGTTAGATCAGATTCTTCTAAAGGTAAGTCATTCTCCATGTTCCCGTGACTGATTTAAGGATTGACATGTGGGCCAGACTTGGAAATGATATGAAGAGAGAGTTTGGCCAGTTAGCCTGTTTCAACTACATATTTTTCTCTGGAGGATCTGAGGCTTATGATTGTTGTAGGTATCTAGTTCACTGCCAGAAGGTGAAGACAACACATAGAGCAATATAAATCAGAATTGTAGCATTAAATAAAGACTGGAACATGCTTTGCTAAACTTTTGACCTAGGAACTGTGCCTTTTCTTATTTAACTACATGAATTAGAATTACATTTTCTGTCACTTGCTGATGAAAGCAACTAAGAGAAAAACACAGTTAACAGTAATGTAAATCAGGCTCAGTTCTTGGAAGCTAGAATTCAGACACAAATAAATAAGTAAGTCTATTTCTGATGAGATACATTAAATATTATTATAAATGCCAAGATAATGAAAACATGGGACATAATAGGAGTTCAGAGAAAATCTGAATAAGATATTGCCTTGACTCATCAAGAATTTACTATGTATAGAAATCACAAAGGGAAGAGGTATCATTATGGAAAATATACTCAGTAGAAAGGTGCAGCATATTGAAAGCTGAAGAAGGGTAGTGATATGGGTATTCATCTTAGAATGCGAAGTATCAGTCTTTGACTTAATATAGAAACATATATTGATTGTATATGAGTGCTATACAATATCTCTTGTGACTATAGCAGGATAAAGATGTCTGAAGTTATGGAGAACTAAAGACAGAAGGTGAAATGCTCCTAGGGCAGAAGGAGTTAATAAGTTATGAATCTGTTTCTCTGAAATGCATTTTCGAGTGAGAATGGATTCTTTAAATGCTATGCTGTGTTTTAACCATAAACCTAAATCATTTTCTTCATTTTAATGATCACACTGAATTTCTTGGACCTGAAACCAGAGCCCAGGGAGCTGGTCATCTTTAGATTGGAGGCTGTTCACACCTCTAATTCGTGATGGCAGATATGCCTACGTATGTGTCGTCTTCAACTAAATTGTGAAACAAAATCCTCCGGGGCAAAGCCAACCCTTCTCAGAAATAGCAATATTTGTGCTCTGTGGCTTCTTTCCACTGCTACAGAATTGGCCCTGACCCAGTGGCCCAAATCTAGTGCAATTTTGATGTTATGCTGTTGATACAGTCACCTGTGGGAAAAGGCAATAGGAATCTGTGCTCCTTAGCTGTCACAATGGGAATCTACAACATGTCATGTCACTTTTTTATTTGCCCAACTCTGAAGAAAACTTGGCTGGGCTCATTTGAATTCATTACAATCCAACAAAGGGGCAATGATACAGCATCCTCTACAGCAAACTGTTTAGTTATGAGGTCAGGATAGAGTACAGTGTATGGCCATCAACTTACAGTAATGAACTTAATGTCAGCAATTAAAAAAATAAAAGAAGTAAATATTGGAAATAAAGACATGGAATAATTATGGTTTTAGATTATTCATTTTTATATCTGGAGAATCAAAGAGAATTAACAAAAATAATAATGACATAGATAAAGCCATTTAGAAAGTTGTCCAGATATGGGATATGTAGACTACCAGTAAAAGAGATAGAATGTGTAATGATATATATTAATCAAAAACAACAAGAATAATAAAATACCATCAGTGAAGAGCTCCAGACGATCCATCAACCCTTCCTTCCAATGAAAAAAATACGTGTCCATCAGTAGAACTGAATTGAACTGAACTGAATTAAACAAGAAGATCATAGTTTATTTATCTGTCAATTACTCTTACAATTGGCACCATGATCTTCAGAGTAATCTTTATGGTATATAATATGAGTCTTATTTTTCATATAAAAAACTAGTTACCAGGAATAGCCTCGAGGTCATATATCTAATAAATGACATGGTGCAATTAAAACTCTTTTCTGAATCCAAACCTTATAGTTTTATGCTTTTGTTTCGTTCTGCTATTTTTACTATACCACGCTATATAGGTTGAGTTGTCTGTTTAGAACTATCTACTTAATGTGCAGATGTACTTTTTTATGGGAAGACTTTGTTATGGTTAGGATTGAGAATGTCCTACAAAGTCCTTATCCCCTTATAGTGGGACTTTTAGAAAGTGATTTAATCATGATAAATCCACAGAGCAAAGTGAGGGGCCGGGAAGGAAGCTACATCATTCCAAGTTACACCCCCAGTGACCTGCCTCTTCCGACTAGACCCCTCCTCTTAACAGCAAGTCAGCAATATGGCTCTCTTCTTCCTGGACACCATGATGTGGGCAGCATTCCTCTGCTATTGGTCCTCCCGCCATGCCCTTCCTGCCTTGGAGTTGATCAACCACAGATTGAAAAGGTGAGCCAAAATAAATCTCTCTGAAGGTGTGGGTTTTGGGTACAATGTCTGAGGGACAAGAAACCAGCTAAGCCAGACCCCCAACTACTATTTTGCCTCCTGGCTCTTCCACAAATGTAGGCCAGCATTCTCCACATTTGGCTTCCTTGAGGTTTTCACCCCACTCCCACAGGTGTCATGTGCCAATCCACAGTCAATGACCATATATAGTTTGGTTTAGAAGAGCTGCTATTTTGATAAGGAAAAGAAAACTATAGCTTTTGTTATTTTCAATCAGTTCTTTTGTTTTAAAAGTTAAAGGTAGAAATCCGAGCAGTGTGTCTTGATTGTTTAAATTAAAACTTGAAGGAGTAGGAGGCAGAATTGTGGAGGTCTTGTTTCTCCAACTTGGTTAGATTAAGTGACCTCACAGAGTGAAGTTCTCATGGAGCATTCCCAAACTGTGAATCCTCAAATGTCAGGGTTTTATTAATGCCATCTTTCAGCATCAAAAACCCACATCCATCCTTCCTGCCTTGTCTCTAATGAAATTTTCCCTTAGGATGGGGCCTTCGCATTATTCTTGTTTCTGAGGCTGTGCATAGACTGGCAGGTGTGCTTGGGAGAATCTTTCTGAAACTTTGTGGATTATTTTCCCTAAAATAACCAATGCAAAGTGCTTTGGGGAATTATTCTAGAGTGGGTTTTTTTGAAGGAGAAAACTGTAATATAAAAGTTCAGAATTTACCCAGTTATTAGGATACTGGTCTTTAAGAAGAAGATACCATTATTCCTTCTTTTGTTGATTAATATTCCTGCTTGGTGGGTAAAGAATAAATACAGTGCAAATACAATAATTGGTATACATTGAAGAGGTCTCCAGTATGAATGGTAAATATGATATGATATGATATATTAGCATGAATTGAAGCTATAATTTGGAATTATGTCTAACTTATTCAACACCTGGATCTCTCCCTTAGGAAGTGTGCAAAACGTACACAACTTATTTTATTTACAAATGAAATACACAGTAAGGGAACATAATTTGCTTATTTGATTTGTAATTCAATACTTTTCACTTGCTTCTCCTTCTGCCTGAAATGTCTTTACTTTCTTACATATTCAGTTAATGTTTACTTGAGCTCTAAGATTTAATTCAGTGTTCTCCTCCCCTGTGAAGACTTCCTTGGCTGTTCCTCCTCCCCAGGCAGGGTTGATGTTCTTTCTCTGACTCCCACATTACTTCACACTATTATAAATATCATGCTGAATTGAAATTGCTTATTTTCCCAGGTGCATCTCTGATTAGACCGTGCCAAAAGCCTGTCTTCTCATATCTACGAGGCCTAGTCAAGTCCCAATGCCCTGTAGGTTTTCAAAAGTATTTGTTGAGGTAGGCTTAGCCTGTATTAATAGAGTAATTTTCAGAATAAATTTACTTTTGCCTATCTTGCCTCAATTAGTCATTAGTGATAGAACTGCAGAGTAAAATGCTACTGTGCCAGATTCTACTTGCTCAACTCCAGCCATCAGTGTTTCATCTTCATAGTTTCTGTCACAGCTCCTTACTCCCTCTACCACTACTATATCTTCTTTCACAGAATCTTCTTTTAAAAATTCAAAACAAAAGAACCTTGAAAACTGAAGCTATTTACATTCATTCTAAGCAGCTGCTATATCATGTCAAGCTTTTGATGATAATTTTTAGTGTGCGTAACAACAATTCATAACTGCTAACACATTTAGAAGTTTGTCCATGTAGTACCTGTATACATTTCTTTCTTATTTTCACATGAGAACTTGACATGCCCAGAGAAGTACAGTCTAAGTTTGCATCCTACAATTGAACAAGTTGAAGAAAAATCATGGTTTTCTGAGCTGGGCTTAAATGGAAATTTCATGAATTAAAACAAATATGTACATTTCCTTGATGCTGTAGCACTTTGAGCAGCCTCTGTCACTGATCCAAGCTTTTGAGGCTAGGGTGAAAGTAAGACCCTACATAGCTCCCTGTCTGTGCCCTAGCAACCAAGCACAACACAGATGGCCAGCCTGGCAATCTGCCTACCAGACACTGATTGGATACCTGATAGTGAGACACAATGGAAGCTTCCCCCATGCAGGGATAGTGTGTATTTGCATGGAGTTTTTAGTGATAGGCAATGAAGATTGTATCCTACGACTTCAGGCCATTTGTTGGTTTTGAGTCTACAGTCAGTAACTTTCTGCTGGTGTAATGATAACTTGTCTGTTGGAGCTGGATCATGTTAGGACAGTAGGAATTTTCTCTCTTGGTCCCTTTTCAGTAATGCCTTGTAATAACAGGGCAGCATTTTCCCAAGATGTTTCTTGCCAAGTGCACACATGTGCTGGGTCAAAAAATCTTGAGCATTGGTTGGCATCAAAGAGTTGGAATCTTGCCTATTTATAGGAGAGGTGTTCCCATTTCACAGGTGGAGAAAGCAAGAGCCATTCCAAGTCAAGAAGCATCTATTATATGCCCCCATATTATTTTTAAGTGTAATGAATAACCATTGTGTATCTATTCTTTCAGGTCCTGGGCATGCAAAGATAAATTATGCAGAATGTGACTTAGGAGACATTCATACCAGTTGAGGAGACAGACATTTAAGCTAATAACTATAATACAACTTGGTGAGTGGTTTAATGGAAGGGTATACCCAGTTCTGAGGAAATAAAGAGGAACAGCTATTATTGCTTTCAGGAAAAGGCTGAAAATGAAAGCAAAATTTATGATGGACATTATTTCTTGAGAAATGCATTATAGTAAAGTGGTGAAGGTCTTATTTTGCTACTTGATGAGTTGGCCTTGTAGATATACACTTTGCCACCCACACATTCTTGACTTTAGGCAACTCACCAAACCTTCCAGACTTATTTCTTTATCTGTGCAATGAGGAAAGAAAGAGTTCATGTCATATATCAACACAAAATAATCGTTAGGCTGTAGTTAGAATCTTTTCTGGCCTCGAATATGTGTTCAATAAATATTAGCTCTGGTTGACATTCTTATCACTATTTTTTTTGTTATGTGATGATGATGTGAATTCCCTTGAAGGGAGACTTGTGATACAGTATTATCGTTGGCATCAGAACACACTGGCTGCAAGTTCAGTCTTGAATTTTACTCCCTGTGTGTCCTTGAACAGAATCATTACTCTTCTGATGTAATTTACACTTCTTGACCAAGTTGGAGAAATAACACACTTACTATCATCCCCTAGATGTCTTTTCAAAACAAATCATTTGAACAAAGGCGACATTTTCAGCATTGTGGTCTTTCAAAACATCTCATCAAGCTTTCAATGACTGCTCATTAGGGTTTGGAGGTAACCTGTTTTCAGAGAAATATCACAATCTGATCATGGCACATTGCATTTTTTGTTATCTTGGTCAAATTCAGATGAGGTGTACAGTCACATGTCAGTCTCATAACATGAGTCCCGATGAAGAGGGAAACATGAATAGAATTTTGAGTGATGTCCAGGAAGTGATGAAAGATGTGCTGGTTTAAGGCAAGGGTTCCAGGCAGGGTAATATTCACAGATGGTGGGGACACAATGTTGTGGCTGCTGTATTGGAGGGTGGGGGAGGGTGGTGACTGTGTATAGAGTGAGGACTTATTTCTTTTCCTGGGGGTTGGGGAAGTGAGGTTGTCGGGGTCATAAAAGCAAAATCAGAATCACCAGATGGGTCAGACAGAAAAGGATAGTTCAGGTGGGGAGAAGAGAAATGTAAATACCTGGAAGAAAAGATGTGTGTTTGGGGAGTAGTGAGGTGTGACTAGCCTAGTGGTCCTGGGAAGGCTAGACTGGAGAGAGGTTAAGATCAGATTTGAGGAATGAATGATAAAGGAAAGTGTTCCCTCAATCTGCAAGATGTACCCAGCCCACCACTCTCAACACCCTACCTGAAGAGGTCTATAATGAATGCCAGCTATGCGCATCCATAGTTCACCTGGCAAATTTCTTTTGATCTTCACAAAATAGAAATATTTAGTGTTTCAACTAGGACTTAATTTGGGTGAGAGTAATACCGACATTTCCCCAGATGACATAGGCCTAAACAAAATATAAATTTATTTTTCTCTTATGTGCAAGCCTGGAGTTCAGTGCTCAAGGGCAGAGCACCCACTACATTGCATCTCAACCAGCTGTGAGCATTCTGCTGCCTGAAATCATTTACTTCAAGTGTATCATTCATCCCTTCCTGGACATCATTGTGACAACATTGAGAGGCAGTTTCCACAAGGCCTTTATACTATATTCATTGATTCCCCAAGAGTTATCTGGACCATACTTGCTGTGTGTGTGTGTGTGTGTGTGTGTGTGTGTGTTTCTATTGCATGAATACTTTCTGCTTTCTCTAATTTATGCCAGGGAATAATTTT